TCGGGCGGTCCCGGGCCGCGCGCACCTTTCCCCGCCGGCAACGCGAGGGGGGACACGGGCAGGGGACTGAAAAGGAGAGGTTCTGGCTTTGTCGTAACCTTGCGGGTTTTCTATATGTATATGTGTGTGTAATTTTTATTTATTTTTTTCCCTCTGACTAGATAAAATAGGGTGAGAGAGGATGCCTGAATATCTTGAAGTGGTGTGTTAATAGGTCGTGGGTACTGCTTCAGGCAGCAGTTTTAAACGTGCTTCTTCATGAACACAGAGTGAAATGGGTTGTTTTAGGTGCATCATAGGTGTGCCTGCAAATTCCTTAAAAGCAACCAGAAAGCCTGAGAAGCCGTGTGTCCTTACCTTAAGTCTCAGTTAGGACTTTTGTCTTCAATTATACGTGTATGCAGGAATACAATTCAATTATATAAAGTGTTTGCCTAGCATTTGTGTTAATTTGTACAGTGTGAAGTGGTTGTTTCTGGTTAGGAAGGCTTTATTCCTTTATGCAGCTCATCGTGATTGTAGGAAGAAGCTGGATAAGGTCAATTTGATAATGCTGATAGGTGGGCATGAGAGAGAATTGTTTTTTAAGGATGTAAGTAAAGGTATAGAAAAAATGTGCTTATTTGCTTAGAATTCATAGGGTTAAATTAATAGAATGTGGTTTATCCTAGTAATTGTAGATAAGAGTGTTAAAATGTGAAATCATAGTCCGTGATGAAGAACTCTTATATGTTTTTCTGTGAGGTATCCCTCTGGGTCTAGTGTACAGTAATGTCAAAACAGACTGCAGGGTGGGGGGAGACCCAAAAATTGCTGTCTTTGCTGCAAGTATATGCAACATGGAGGCAATCGGGTCATTTAATTTAAAAATAAAAACAGTTTTGAAGGCTGTTTAAGGCGGCAATTTCCTGGTGAAGTTATGTTCTAAACTTAAGTTATGAATCAGCAACATTTTTTTAAAAAAATCTAGCATTTGTAGCTTAGTTGTATAAAACTGAGGCCTAATACAAGCCTTAGACGCAAGAGTAGAGTAATGAACGTTAAGACTCACATTTCTTGAACACTAAACATTTGTTGATTTGCTCATTTTGCTTCAGTAAAATAACTTGGGCTGAATTTAAGCATATGTATCTGCAGGTCTGAAACTGCATTTTCAGATAAAAGAGCTTCTTAGTAAGCATCTTCAGGAATTTGCTGCAGAAGTAAAGGCTTGCCTTTTGCAAAGGAAACTAAAATAGCTGAAACTTAACCTTTTTTGTAAATCATATAAAATTATAGTATATATGAAATATGTTGCTAAAAATGGATGTGAATGTCAGCTGTTTCATGTTTTGTATGCTTTTTTTCCTGTTTTTCCCTTCAGATCTGCCACAATGCCTGGGTCTCTTCCAGTGAATGCTGAATCCTGTTGGCCAAAAGATGTGGGAATTGTTGCCCTGGAAATTTACTTTCCTTCTCAGTACGTTGACCAGACGGAACTGGAGAAGTACGATGGGGTAGATGCTGGCAAATACACCATTGGGCTTGGCCAGTCCAAGATGGGCTTCTGCTCTGACCGAGAGGACATCAATTCTCTCTGTTTGACTGTGGTTCAGAAGCTCATGGAGAGGAACAGTCTTTCCTATGACTGTATTGGGAGATTAGAAGTTGGAACGGAGACAATAATTGACAAATCAAAGTCGGTAAAGACTGTCCTGATGCAACTCTTTGAAGAATCTGGTAATACAGATGTTGAAGGAATTGACACCACAAACGCGTGCTATGGAGGCACTGCTGCTCTCTTTAATGCTGTTAACTGGATCGAGTCCAGTTCCTGGGATGGTAAGTCTGGGGTGTTTTTTTGAGAGGCTGCGTCACTCTGTTGTTGGTGAATTGTTGTTCTTGTTTAACCGTATAAATAAAACGGAGCCCTCTTGTGAAGTCCTCACCTTAAGTGCTCTGGGCATTGGCCACTAGCACAATTCCATACGGAAAGTAATGACCCAGAGAAGCGTCACTGGGCTCTCCTTGTGATCGCTGGTGATTGCCAGGAAAAACACGAAATGGGGCGAATAAATAAAGATTGAAGAACCCCCCAATCCTGCAGTCATCTCCTCTCTGAACAGAGGTCCAAAAAAGGCTGCTGGATATTAAATTCTGCTGGATGCTGACTCCCTTCTGGGCTGTGTGTGTGTTTCCTGCAGGCCGCTACGCGCTCGTTGTCGCTGGAGACATCGCTGTTTATGCCACTGGAAATGCCAGGCCGACGGGGGGAGCCGGAGCAGTTGCCATGCTAGTTGGCCCAAATGCACCTTTAATTTTTGAGCGAGGTTAGTTCTGTGAGAAAACAGACCAGCCAGACACTGTTTCCCTTCTGAAGCCTCTTCTCTGTGTTTGTGGGTTGCTGGAGGGCTGGATTAACCCCCGCTCACGTCGAAGTTGTACTTTGTCATCTCTTGCTCTGGGCAACTTGTTCAAGGCCCATTAGAGGAGGCAGGAAATATCAACTAAAGATGCTTCTGTCTTGTGTGTTTTTTTTTTTTTTCTTTTTCCCTTGGGGATTCTCTAACCAATTCTCTAATAAAATTGGTGAAGAATGGACTTGAACTGAATAGCAAAGCTCTCCATGTACCAGAAGAAATGATGGAAATCCTGTTATTTGTGTTTGTTATGCTCAGTCCTACTGGGCTTGAGTACAAGGGAATTGAGAACTGTGCAGGCAAGAAGGACTGGAGGTGCTGTTAAAACCTGCTTGTTCTTCACGTGTGCTATGGTGTGTTTAAATCACTTCAAAGTAGCTGAAAAAAAGTAATTTTGGTCAAATTCTCTTAACCAGGGCTGCGTGGGACCCACATGCAGCATGCCTATGACTTCTATAAACCAGACATGGTGTCCGAGTATCCTGTAGTTGATGGCAAACTATCCATACAGTGCTACCTCAGTGCCTTGGATCGCTGCTACACTGTCTATCGCAACAAGATCCATGCCCAGTGGCAGAAGGGTACGTACCTCGCTCCATGACAGGGCAAACGGGCATGTATTGGAGTGCCCAGTTATGTGGACAGACTCAGGGTTTGGTGTCTGATCTGCAGGCTAGTGTGTGCCCCATTTCCTTGTGTTCGGGTGTTTGAGGTAGTTGAAGTCTTCGTTTGCTTTCTACCGTGTGAAACATGGTTTAGTTGGTGTGACTGAATACACCATCTTCAGCAAGGAGTATCCTCTGCAGGCCCTTACTACTTAAACCAGCTTATTTGCTATTTCAAAATACAGAGATGCTGTGAAGCTTTTAGTTTTTCCTGCTAGAAAAAGGGCATTGTTAGTTGCCACACATGATCAGTCAGTAAGAATTATTTTTGTTTGAATAGAAGTTGTGGCAGTATTTTAAATAAACTTGTCAGGAATCATTAGTGTTATGGCTATCTTTTGAATGCTGACATGTCATAATTTCTCCTGTTTACTGTAACAGTGTGAGCACTAGTAGTAAGTTATAACATACCATATTCTGCTGCTTCCAGAGGGAACAGACAGACGTTTCACCTTGAATGACTTTGGATTCATGATCTTCCACTCTCCCTACTGTAAACTGGTGCAGAAATCTGTGGCCAGGCTGTTGCTGAATGACTTTCTCAGTGATCCGAACCCTGAAACAGCAAATGGTGTTTTCAGTGGTCTGGAGGCTTTCAGGTGAGAATAGCTGCTGTATCCCACAGTCTACCCATATCCACCAGTCTGAATCCGTTAAACACCCGAGATGTTTTTCCTTTCTGCTCTTTTAGTAACTGCCTTTATTTTTTGTAGGGATGTTAAACTGGAAGATACCTATTTTGACAGAGATGTGGAAAAAGCTTTTATGAAAGCTAGTGCCGAGCTCTTCAATCAGAAAACCAAAGCTTCCCTGCTCGTGTCCAACCAGAATGGGAATATGTACACACCCTCCGTCTACGGCTGCCTCGCTTCCCTTCTAGCCCAGTAAGCCTGAGACCAGGAAGACAAAGTCACAGCTTCTCATACAGAATTGTGTAAAATAGTTTTGCTTCAGATGATAGGCTTCTGTGAAAGAACCATCTAGGTGTTTTTCCTGTTAGATTACCTTGAGCAGCAAGACTAAGACCAGAAAATTATTCTGCACACACGATCTGCTCAAATGAAAACCAAATGCAAAAGTTCTGTGCCAGAGGTTGACCTAGAAGATGCGTTTCCTGCATTCTAAACTGGATATTATTTGTAGGGTGGTGATCTTTTCCCAGCTCAAAATAAATTAAAAATAAAAAAAGAAAAAACTGCTCTCTTCTATAGCAAGAAGAGCCAAGTGAAATCCATATTTGCTTAAGGAACTGTTGTATTTTGTGCAATCACTGAGGCTTTCACAAAATCCCCTTAAAATAGAGAAAGTCGTCTTGGGTCGTCTTTTTCCTTTGTTGTCACCTTGCATTCTAGGATGTGATATTTCATTTGAGGCTTTGGGTAATTTAGCAATGAGAATTAGCTGCCTTTTAGCTAACTATGTTCTGGGCATTAATGTGCTCCCTTTTGCTTAGTCAACCTTGAAAATAATGGTATAGCAGCAATGCTTGGAATCATGTCTTAAAAAATCCTTGTTTATTCCTATAGTGATCATATGTGTGCGTTTGAGTACAGTCTGCTGGCTGCTTTCTGTTAAGCAAGCTGCAACTTTTAGTTTATTTAAAACTGGCACTTGGGCATAATTTGCATTCTAAGCTGCTGTTTTTGGCCAATTTGCAGGTACTCCCCAGAGCAGCTCGCCGGACAGAGGATCAGCGTGTTCTCGTACGGCTCAGGCTTTGCCGCGACACTTTATTCCATCCGAGTGACGCAGGATGCCACCCCAGGTGAGCGCTGGGAGCCCAGGGCACCCTGGGGAGCCTGTGTGGGAACTCGCCCCACACAGGACCTGCTTTCCCTGGGCATGCACAATGGGCCAGCAGCTAAAAGCGCTT